TGTGTGTGTGTGTGTGTGTGTGTGTGTGTGTGTGTGTGTAGATGTACTGAAGATAAGAGTCAGAAGAGACTGGCCCGGTTCACTTTCAATACGTTTGTCTTTTTGAACGGGCAACTTTATGCAACTCTAAAACGTTTCCAGGAGATTTATTGAATTTGATCCAAATATTAGATKATTCAAGAAACAATCAGAGGACGGATTAAAGAACCAAGATGGGCGTTCAGATCGAATTTGTCGTCTTCCTCATGTTTGCAGTTGGCGTGAAAAGTGAAGGTAAATCAGTAACATCTCAGCTTCATATTTGCAACTAAAATAGTTTTAGTGTTTTGAATTTACCCTGTTWAGAATGTAAAAAAATCTTATCATTTGCTTTTCAAAGTACATTTCTCCAATTTATTATATTAGAATTCCTCGACTGCTGCCAATAATTACAAATGTGTTGTTTATTTTATTTTATTTTTCTGTGTTGGATTTTTCTTTTTTCCTTTTCTTCTCAGTGACGAGATGTTCACGAAAAAAAAAGTATTTCAATTAAATGATCATATTATGAAAAACCAAATTTTACACAAGAGATTGTAGACTTTTTGTTTTTCTGTGGATGAAGTCATGGACTTTAGTGTTAGTTATTGAATTAGAAACTAAAACAAACACAAAGAAGTAACTTAATAAGTGTTTTTTTTTTTTTGTCCTGTTTAAAGGATCTGCAACATTCTGGAGAGATAAAGTCACACTGACCTGTCCGGGTAACGGGACCTGGCATAGCTCTACAGCTAAAGTGCAAAATGAGAAAGAAACATATGAATTTGAGTTTACTAAAAAAAAGAATAATTTTCACTGCACATATCAGGACATTGATGATGTTGTCAAAACGTATCGTTTCTACGTGGAAGGAAAAGGTGAGTCCAGTCAGTCTTCTATTCTTATCCACCAGTGTTGGTTCCAGAGCTAACCCTTGTTGGACCTCTCACCCGTCACCTGCAGCYTGTAAGGACTGCTTTGAAGTAGACGGACTTCTCTTCCTGCTGATCATCATCGTGGATTTGATCGGGACGTCGGCTCTGATGACGATCATCTACAGCTACACTAAGAAGAAAGTCCCAGAGCAACGGCCTCAACGTAAGAATGATCTGTTAGATCAGAAAACAGTAATTAGGACTCTTTGAATTTAATAAATAATAATAAAATCAATAAATATCTTAATTACTGTGTTTTGCACAGTTAAGAAAAAATAAGAATATAAAACAAAACAACATAATAGTTTGAAGATTAATTACACCCTTCCAGTGCCAAACATCTGATTTTAAATATATTGTCTTCAAGTACTAATCAGTATATCTGTAATAAATATACACACATAGTTTTTACTTATTGTTACAATCATTCTGTAATAGTCTCAATACTAAAACACACCTCATTCAACATTTGTAAAATAAAATGCAAAACTCAAATTATATTGTTGTTGTTTTTTTTTCAATTCAAACACTTCACTATAGGAAAACTATTGATGGCAACATAACATCATCTCTGTTGATTTTAAATATACAAATTCAGTACATTTTAATCAACTGGAGCAAATGACAGGATTGTTTGTTGGTTCATCATAAAAAGCCTTTTATACTATTATCGTTTTTTATAAAGTTTAACATTTATGTCTATTTTTACAAAATAAGACAAACCTTATTACAACATAAACTCTTCTGATTTCAACACTGACTGCAAACGTTCTGTAAGAGTTGTCCACAACTACACAACTAAACACAATCAAATCGGTTTTGTTTTCAATAATATATAATTCAGACATGTTCGTTACATAGCCATTATGATTTAAATCAATTTTAAAAAGTTTAGGGCCGAATACTGAACCCTGTGGAGCACCACTTCTTATTTTCTTAGTTGTGATTCAGTATTATTTACATAGTGAAACCTAAAATTGAAATAACATCTTAATCAATGATTTGCAGTTTTTACATTGTATTGATCCCATTTTTGGAGGAGAAAGAAAAAAAATTGTTGTGTCAAAGGTTTTTTTGTAAATCCAAATCCTCCCAATGCAAAATACTGCATCGCATCTAAAGCCATACTTTTTAGCATTGTTTGATGGTGACTAAGTGAAATTTAACTTCACATTTTTCAATTACTTTTACAAATAAATGTTCTAGTGTCTTTAGTTTAAATGAAAAAAAAATGTTCAGTCACATTTAATTTTTCCACTTCTTCCAGCTCGTCCTAAACCAGGGGGCCGGGCTCCACCTGTCCCTGCTGCTGACTACGAGGTGAGTGTCGTCGAAAACGCTTTTACCAAACATCTCTTTCATGTTTTAGATCTTATTTTTGCATTTAGCTTACTTTTTTCATCCTTGCTGACTTCAAATGAGAAACAGAATCTTGAATATTTTCATCAAAGCAACAAATTAAATTAAATGGAAGTCTTTGGGATGAAGCCACCCACCTGTGAAGAGTGTCTCACTGAGCTGCGAGGCGATCACTCAGGCTTGTGAGAAAATAAATTTCAATTATTGAGTGTTTTCAACCASTTGTCCTCTGTGGACATTATTTTTGCTCCACATCTCTGCCAACCTTGGCCCATATTCTTCACATTTGCAGGGTGTGCTTTTGAAATGTAAAAAAAATTAATTACTTAAAAAACTGATCCAAATTTAGATCATTTTTTTAAGTAATTTTTATTTATCAACGGCTTGGATTTTAAACCTGGACATTTAGTGCTATAATCTCAAATGTTTTCTGTCACAAAAAAAGCACCTGTGCAGACGTCAACTCAAAGCAAACAGATTTAAGAAAACTAAACTGGGATGAGTTTGACACGTTCACAACAACTCTGCAACTCTTTTTATTTCAAATTATTTGCATTATTTTTAAAATGTGTTCAGAGAAAAGAGACACCAGGGTTCTATATCTATAGCTCAAAATCATTTGATCTTTTATTTAAAAAAGGTCAAAATACTGCAGTGAAACAGTTAGATACAGTTAGTTACATAAGTACARGAGCTCTCAAAGCAACAGAAAAGTTTAAAATGAGAAGAAATTAATTCATGATTTTGTGATGCTGTAACTTAATTTCAACATGGTTTGTATTAACAAGATGACTGAGTTCAGAAGTTTGTATTTCATTTTTTTTCTCAAGAAATGACTCGTTTTTAACAATAATTTTTAAACACGGGACAAAAATATGTCAGGAACTTTCCAACCCCACTGGGAATCTTAGGCACATCCCAGTTGTTGCCGTGCTCCGTGATCCAAACATGTAAAACTTTGTTCTCTTCTTTTTTTTTTTTTTTTTTTTTTTTTGGCAGCAACTGAGCCCAAACTCTGAATCGGCGACCTACTCTGCTGTGGTGATACGCCAGACTTAAACAAGTCTGAAAAATTATTACAAATGATGTGAAACTGTCAACCCTGAAAACCTGAAGGTCTATTTTGCAGTTTGATTTACACAAGTTTTTAAATGTTCTTATTTAACACAGTCGTTGTTTTTTAAATAGTGTTGCTTTTGATTTTATKATAAAACTGTGTTGATGTCATTTACTCTGTAATGCTCACTGTACTTTAAATGTACCTGAAAATGGGCCTTAATATACTGAAAAGATTACTGAATATACTGAAGAGAAATACTTTGTTAGTTATAGTACGTTGGAGAGTAACGAGCTGATTGTGTATTTAAATCTAAATTCATTTGGAAAAAGAAATCAGGAATTTTTCAAAATGGGAGCAATAATACTATTGCTTTCTGGTATTACTTCTGCTGGTTGTGTGTAATTTTGGCGTGTATATAAATGATCAACAAAAGTTTACAAATTAAACACAAAGACAACTYGAGAAATTGTATTTCCTGCAAAAATGTTAGTGTGAATGCAGGTTATTGCTGAAAACTGCAGCTGAAAGCTGCTAAAATGGAGCTGAATGTGTTTAATAGCAAAAGAGTAAATGCAAGTTCAATTTGAGAAGATGAAAGAAGCATAAAAACGTTTAACTATGCAGAAGGCAGCTTAACCATTGTGTATTTAGCTTGAAAAGGCTAAATTTAGCAGCAAACAGCTAAACAGCGCCTAAAGTTGCAAAACAGCTAAAATTGTCATGATGCAACTGAAATAAGTATATAAAAATTAAATTAGTAATAAGAAGCAGAAAAAAGGTTCAAAAAGTAGAAATTAGCAAAAAATAGCACAAAGAAGCTGAAATATGACCGAAATAGAAGAAAAAAGCTAAAATTGGCAGAAAAACTACACTCTAAAAATGAAATGTTGGATTTACTTAACCATGTTATGTTACCTGGTTCCACTTAACTGAGTTGAGTAAATTCAAAGCAACATACTCATGTTCTTTGGTTAAAAAACTGGTACGTTGCTTTGAATTTACTCAACTCAGTTAAGTGGAACCAGGTAACATAACATGGTTAAGTAAATCCAACATTTCATTTTTTACAGTGAAGCTAAAGGTGGATGAAACAAGTTGAATGTGATACACAGACAGTGATAGTTGTGTAAATAAATGTCAAATTAGTCAAAAACAAAGTACAAAAATGTACAAAAAAACAAGTTTTTGTAAATCAGCTAAAACAGTCAACATGTGGAYTAAAACAGCTAAAATTGTATATGGTACTGAAATTAGCACAAAGAAACAGAAAGAGCCTGTTTACAAAAAGAAGCTGAAATGGCCACCAAACTGTGAATTTAGCTTGAAAAAAATATTTTAGCTATCAGCTGCTGAAATTAGCAGAAAACAACTGAAAGAAGCAAGAAAAAAAGCTCAAATACGCAAAAAAGAAGCGGAAAGAAGCATAAAATGTAAAAATGAGCAGAAGAATAGCAGAAGGAGTAGAGTTTTAGTTGAAACAGCAGAAAAACGATAAAAGTAGCTTAAAACGAAGCTAGAATTAGCACAAGGGAGTTGAAAGAGAGCAGAACCAGAACAAAATGTGTAAAGTGAAATGARTTATAAACATTTTAAGGGTTTTAAAGATGTTTAGAACAGCTCCATTTATTTCCAACTGGAAATGGGAAATAAAAGTAATGTCCACATGGAATATATAAAAATTGAATACACCTAATGTTTGAAATATGATTTAGGTTTGATGTGCACYGTGAGGTAGAGTTTTCCTGTTTATWCTGCTTTGAGTTTAGATGTTTGTATTTAAAACGTTGATGGGAAGTATTTTTATTTACAGCAACTTTTTCTGACATAAATTTTGTACAATCAAATATAAATATGTCGTTCTTGTGTTTTGTACACAATAGCTTCCATTGTTTTGCTCTGTAAAAGACGTAAAGACATTTGRGCGACATTTTGTTCATCTCATCAGCTCGGTTGTACTTCCTGTTTGTTTTCTCATTTCATTTTGATGTGCTTCTCTGCTTGTGACTGTAATCTGTCATTAATAGAATAAACCACAACAATGTTGTTCTCTCTTTTTTCTTTTTTTTTCTTTTGTATTTGGTTGGAAACAACACTGCACCATTTAAGCAGACACACAGCTTTGTGTGATTCACAAAACCTCATATTTGCAGCACACATGTAGAAATTCACAACTGGCATGACTTCCTGAACCACTGCAGACATTTGTGACTGTTTTATTCTGTCAGTGGAAATGATGCTTTTGACTTTAATTTGGTAACATGTGACAGAAAGCTGATGTGGTGGAAGGTGGATCAAAAATGATCATGTTGTGTGTCTGAGTGGTTTGATTAGAACGGTGTTCTTCTWCTGTTTTATAGTATTCCTCACTTTCCCCAAAACACTAACACAATCATTAAATCGACACAGTTTGACATGTAAACACTGCCTCTAAAATCAGTTTGTTTTTCTCCTCCTCTCAATTTCCTGCCCTTCATCTCTTTTAACTTTCTGCCTTTTTTCTCTGCCGAAACAAACGCAGCTAATCAGACAGGAAAAACTAACATCGAGCCGTTTCCACGAGGCTGGGGCTGCTGCTTTTGTCTGACAGAGGAAAATGTCTGCCGTAAAGATAATGAGCACGAGCCGTCGCTCAAAGYGTTGGACAGAATTTCATTTAAAACGTGAATTGTTGTGTAACTTGTTAATACGCGGCCGCGACTAACAACCAAAGTGTATTTCACATTTTTACAATGACTTTCACAACAAACAGGATGTTTTAAGACGCTTCGCTTCCCCTGTGTGRGATGTGACTGGGCTGTTTAGGCTGGCCTCAAGTTATGACTCTAAAATTAAACAATCAAATCATTTTAAAGCGTAGAGGAAACAAACTCATCCACTGTAGCAAGATGCAAGTTTATAAAAGATTTTATGTTTGGAATAAGATATTCTTGTATATTAATCAAAAAGAAAAAAATAAGTAGGTCCTCTGGATGGGTCCTTCTTTAGAGAAACGTTTTGTCTCTCCTCCAAGAGACTTCTTCAGTCTGATGCGTTTCAGGTGAACTCAGCCTTATAAGCACTGCCTCCACKTGGTTAACCACAGCCGAAGCATCCAAACCAATAAGTCAGGTGATGGGGCACATGACCCTCTATGAACAATGGAGCTAATCAAGCCTATTGTTAGGTGATGGCCTTCTTTTGCATGTGACT